GATTTGCTGTAGCTGTCTTCTCGAACTGGAGCTTAAAGACTTGGAAAGGAATCGTGCCGTCAAAGGATGGAGTCTTTACCTTGGGAGCACTTGTCGAAGTAGCTGGACGATTCATCTGCAAATCTCGGTGGCGACCTTCCAACTCTTCTACCTCAGCCTTGACTTTATCCTGTCTATCCTTGATTTGTTCGTTATCTCTAGCCAAATTCTCCTTCAGCTGTGTAATCTTTGCATCCTGCATTTCGAGCAACTATGATACGTGTGTCTGTAGCTGCGACGAAATATCTGACAACTATGTTTGCATCTGAGATGACAGCTGTGATGACATCTGTGACATGACAGCCAATAACGTGTTCATGTCGATAGCTGTTGATGAACTAAGAGCCTTTTGCTGCTCTTTAACCGTCCCGGATGTCTGCTGCACCTCCTTCGACGAACAAGCAGCCTCATCCTTCTGTTCATCCTTTGCGGATGCATCGTCGGGTTTACCCTGGAAGTCGTATTTGTCCACGTCGATGCCTTCAGCTTCCATAGCCTCTCGCAACCGGGATAACAATTCCACTTTTCTTCCGGAGGTGGCTAAATTACGCTTTTCCAACTCTTGTTTAAGCTCCTCAATCTTTAATTCCTGAATTTCCGCCATTTTCAGTAGTGTATCCTTCGTGATTTATTTAACAATCCCACTTCTGACACCAATTGCTACGATTATCCTTAAACCTTGCATGATCCAACTACACAAGATCTGACAAGATGAAGCAAAAGAAAAAAGTAATTTTCTGGCTGACGTTTGTAATCCATCGCCATGTTGTTTTCTTAGAAATTAACCAAATGTAAACAAAGAATGTGAAGAGCAAGCATAAAGTTACAAGTAAAGTGATTTTTGGACGCATGTTTGTGTAAAATTGAAATGATTGAATAATAAATAAATAAACGATTATAAAACAAGTTTATGTGTCCAATTACTATCTTACCTGAGATTGCCAAGTTGGAGTATGGATGTGTCTGAGTATATGTTTTGGAAGCAGTCGCTGGTGTCGACTGCATTTTTCGGTTTCAGATACCAGCCCTACTTATGAAAATGAGGACGAAGAAATTATGCATGCATATTACGATGTCCACGGATGCCATCCGCACGGATCTATTACTTCTCACTCGCTTGTTACGGCAGTGCCAATCGTATCAGATCTGAGCGCAATTTCTCAAGAAGTGAAGTAAACTACTTGCTGGTACTTGTGGACGCAAAGAAGCATGTGCTGGAGTGCAAAAAAACGGATAGAACAAGTTCCGAGGAAAAAGCCAAAGGACGGAGCGACGTGGAAGCGGAATTCAACGGAAAGTTTGGGATTGTCTTCAGGAACGCAAAAGTCTTGAGGACCAAATACGAAAATTTAAAGAAGACGGCAAAAAAAAATTTCGCAGTTGAGAGGAGAGAGCTGTATAGAACCGGTGGTGGAACGACTGCTTCTTTACCAACTATTAGTATAGACGAAAAAATACTAAGTAAATGTCAGTCTGAACAAGTAGTTGGCAATAAATCTATCTATGATGATGACGCCTTAGAAATAAATGGCAATACTCTAAAATTTTTAGAAATCTTTTACAACACATACCTCCTATATTTTAGACGAAAATTGCATTGTGGAGACGCTCGAGGCGTCAGGTACTACTAAACTTTTCATGCATTTAAGCTCTGTTAAGCATGCTTGGCATTGCATGCACTGCTACACCATTTTTACGTAGAAATCAAAAACCAACAGACTTTTACGTATGTAAAGCTGTGCGTTGTGTAACCGCTTACACGCGAAGCTCATTTAACAGATTCCTTATGTGACAACGCTCAAGCAATGCCAAGTATGCACAACGGAGCCTTTTGTGATTTTATTTATGCGTAGATACATTCCTTTAACAGATAAAGCAGTCGGAAGCCTACGCCTGCAGATCTGCGGAAACCGGTTCATGGTGTTTTGAAAGCGAGGACGAAGTATTCCGCGACAGACACCTGGATGAATGTTGCCGTAAAAAAGAAACAAAAATGAGAACTTCTCATGAAATACACTGCTGAGGAACACGACATCAAAATAAAAAAACAAGAAATGGAAATTGTAATAATGAAAAAGGAGCACGATCTCAAAGTTATAAAGATGGAGTTGGAAATCGACCTTTTAAAATTACAAATACAACAAATGGAAAAAAAGAGTTTGGGTGATTGCAACAACATTAGTGTTTAGTTTTGTTTTACTAATTTTTAGTCTTAATGTGATTGTTTTTATTTTTTTAAATGTAAGGAATAGGGCTGGGACTATCCGCATAATCGAATATCCGGATATCCAGGCGGATTATCCGTTGACACGGATAAAATCCGGATAGTATGGATTTCCGGTTAATATTCGTTTGTGCAATTATTCGGATATCCGGATTTGCGAAGAACTGGGTAGCATTCGTATTTTCGGATATCCAAAAAAATTAAGAGAATTTGGTAAAGCATTCACTATGAACAAAAGTATTGTAGCAGCTTTCATTACTCAGTCCATGATAAAAATATAGTAAGGTAGAACCGCTGAGAGTTACTTTTAAAATTCTTGACGTTTCCAAACAATTAAATTTTTAAATTTACTCATAAACTCACACACACATTTTCATTTTCAATCTCAAGCAACAACAATTTCGAACAATTTCAATTTTTTATTTTCAATTTTATATGATTTTAAAATGCTGGCACACTTCAAAAAAATATCATGGCCGGCAAAATGAGAGAACGGCTCTACCTTGCTATGTTTTTATCATGACTCAGTCCATGATATTTTAAAGCCAAGATGAAATTCTCAATTTTAATCAATATATATCTTTTAATATATATATATTTTTTTATTTTAACGAAACGAAATTTTCATTTCACAATACCAGGCGCTCATAAATATGAAGTAGCAAGTTTTCAATACGCATAAATTTGTTTGTAGAACTTTCTATTTCCTTTCTAGGAGTCTTTGAAATTCACAAAGTAGAATTTTTGAAATTTAAAAATTTATACAAAATATTTTGTGCGTAGAAATAGAAAACTTCTTACTTCATGTGTATGGGCGCCTAGTATTGGGAAATGAAAATATCGTTTTGATGAAATAACAACAGGCCATAAGAGCGGCCGCAGGAAAATGGACTCATTTTATTAATTTATTTGCCCTATTTTGCATTTCATTAATATCTGATATCCGGAGAACTAAGGAAAAATCCGGATATTCGGAGATCCGAATATTATCTTAGCTTCGGGTATATGCAGTTTTTCGTTTAAGTTCTCCGGATATTCGAATATTCGGTTTATCAGGATAGTTGAAAAATCCGGATGAAACTCCCAGCCCTAGTAAGGAAGCGAATATAGTCATACGAAATAAAGTAAATAAAGTCTGAGTAGTCTGTAAATAATTAAAGTAATACAAATGTACCTTTTTTTATAATAATAAGAAAACTGAATTACTTTTTATATTATGTGATAATTTAGACCAATGCATATTTTATTATGTACGCTAAACCGTTATGAAAGCACTTAAAAAATAAAAGACTGAATATAAAATTTTACATGAAAACTAACTGTTTCCATTTCGAAGCAAGTCCTTAAAGTAATTGTTAACTAATGATGTCCTGGTTGAATTATTTGGATTCGAAGTTTCTCATTGCCTGTTCCTTGGAACTGAGAGAGCGAAATCTACTGCAGTGGAAGCATGAGGATCTAATAAAGGTAAATTGTTTTCGTTATTTGTCCAGCAAATATTATGTAGAACAGCAGTAGCAAAAATTATGCTCTAGACTTTTTTGTGATTTAAACGAATTTCAATTGACGGAATTGGAAAGCGCCTTTTCCAAACACCATAACTCCTTTCCACGGTACAACGCGTTCTTATTAAAGACTCATTGAATAAGTTTTCTTCTGGAGTTATCGGGTTAGACAAAGGTGTTATCAAAAACTTTTTATTTGGATAACCACTATCTGCAACAATTAAACTGTCCCCGAATTCACCGTTTTCGAAACGAGAATAAATCCTGGAATTTCTTAATATATTTGAGTCGTGAGCAGATCCGGGCCAGCGAGCAACAATGTTTGTCATCTTTAAGTTTGCATCACACATTGTTTGGATGTTAATGGAGAAAAATCCTTTTCTATTTCGATATAGCTCTGGATTATTGCCACCTATGGAATATGTCAATATATAATAGTATTTTGTGAGTTCGTCTAATAGAAAATAAACAAAAGCAGTTACCTGGTGAGATTATCTTCACGTGCGTACAATCGAAAACACCAATTACTGTGGGAAACTTAGCAATACTGTAAAATCCTTTATAAGTTTCATATTTTTGGCTGCCATCTTTTGGCAGCCGTGAACCGTTCTCTTAGCAAGGCTATATGGTGTGACACCAGCGTAACAACTTTGGACACTATCGATTTTGATGTCCCACACAAATCGCCAATTGTTTGAAGCATTCCACCAGTCGCATATACCCGCAAAGTGATTAAAAGCATTTGCTCCTCTGTTAAGGCGTGATTCCTACAAATGGAAAAATTATTACTTTAATTATTAAACTAAAAATATCCTTACCAATCTGTTGGGTGCTTTATGTGATGTCCGATAAGCTCCAAAATGCTATACACTAATGCCTTCCTCATCCGGAATCGATCACAAAAATCCTTGTCATCCAAGACATTGAAATGATTTGGCCGAGTGGATACAATTCTTGTCCTTCGCAATACAACAATTGTGAGTATTTAATTGTAAGTAATGTAGATAAATCCATTTTATCAAACCATTTTAATTTTGTTGATTTCACTTTCAAATAAACTTTTCCAGCTGATGACAACTCGACAGATAAACAGCTGATTAGTTAAACTCAGTTTAAACCTGCCAGATTGGGCGTTTAAACTTAGTTTAAACTACGTTTGAATTGAACTGAAAAACTGCACAATGAGTTTAAACTTAGTTTAAACGAGAAACGAGGTTAAACTCGCGTTGAAAAACTTGCCCTTATATACCTGCGCTTGCACTCATAGCAACTCTAGAATGTTCTGAAGTTCATCGCTCCTTCTCTTTTTCTCGCTGTTCGAAGTGTTCATCCAACTTGACGTTTCTCTTTGTGGAACATTCTACGTCATTCCTCGAACATTCTGCCTATTTCTCGTTGTTCGCTTCGCGTTACCGCAGTATTCGCCACAATATATATTAACAGTTGAAAATCATTTACACCGGTTCACAACAATTATGCTTGAAACACAATACCCGGCGAACGGCAAATTTCGCCCAGCAGAGCGATGCCGACGACCAACTTTCGCCCAGCTAATTCGCTTACTGAAACACAAATAGAGCGGTAACGAAAACAGCTGGTTGTTATATACTTCAGAGTGGAAATATTTATTTAAGCGTGCTCAAAAAAGTTTAATTATTTAAAATGAATAAAATCCAAAAAAATTTTAAAATAATGAATGTTATGTTCATGATGATAAAGACGTTTCTCCTAGTGCGTCAACGTTTGAAAAGGAGGTGGTGGGTACGCCCTGTGAACCTCACCAGGGAAAACCTTGGCTTTTACACAACCTGTTTTGCCCAACTCAAGCTGAAAGATGAGGGTGATTTTTTTAAGGCAACGAGAATGACCGTGCCCAAGTTTAACGTCCTTCTTACGTTGCTTAGAGAAAGACTGCAACGTTTTTCCAGAAGAAAACCAGTGGACGAGGAGTCACGTTTGGATATTACATTGACGTAAGTTAGCGCTAATAAGACAATCGCATGTAAACATACACTACATACATATCTGCAGATACTTATCTCAAGGCTGCAGTCCACAATTTTTGGCATGGGCTCATAAGTTAGGCGTTTCCACCATAAGAAAAATTATTTATGAAACCTGCGATGCTATTTGGAATGAGCTGCAGTCAGAATTCGTTGCCCAACCAAATCGAACAGAATGGAAGAACATTGTGGAGCGGTTTGTTTAAAGGATTTTAATTTTATACAAACATAATTTGTTATTTCGCTTATAAAAAGGTTTTATATAAAAACTGGAATGCCGCATTGTCTCGGCGCTGTCGATGGCAAACACATCAACATAGTTTGTCCAAAACGTAGTGGATCTCTGTATTACAACTACAAGAAGACATTCAGTATTGTACTAATGGCTGTTTGTGATGATAACTACACTTTCGTCTTTGTTGATGTTGGAGCATTGGGAAGCCAAAGCGATGGTGGAGTTTTCGCGCGCAGTGCTTTTGGCAACATGATATTAAGAAACAACCTTGAGCTTCCTCCAGATGTCAACCTTCCTGGTAACTCAATGTTTTTCATGAAATATATATCGTCGATTGGTGCACAATCGGCCCTATGCTATCGTCGGTAAAAGTGGCGATACCTCCATCGTCAGCCATGTTACTGATAAAATGTAATTGCTAATTTACATACCGACACCTGAGTGGAAGATCGACTTATCTCAACAGCCAGTTAGAAAACGCCCTATCTCAGAAAACTTTTCAAAACCGCCATATTTCAGAATTTGATTGAAACACGTCCTATCAGAGAAAACTTTTCAAAACCGCCCTAATTTAGAATTCGGTTCAAAAGCGCCCTATCTCTGCTGCTGATTCGTAAACGCACTATCTCAACATATTTTCAGTACATTTTCAGTTGATATAAGGCGTTTTTGAATAAACTTCTGAAATGGGGTGTTCTTGAAAAGTTTTCTGAAATAGGGCGTTTTTCAATCAAATTCTAAAATGGGGCGTTCTTCAATCAAATTCTGAAATAGGGCGGTTTTGAAAAGTTTTCTGAGATAGAGCGTTTTCTAACTGGCTGTTGAGATAAGTCTTCCACTCAGGTGTCGGTATGTAAATTAGCAATTAAATTTAAAGATATTTTAACTAGGTACAAATACGATATTTCCTTATTATTTTGTGGGAGACAACGCATTTCCTCTAATCAAAAATGCGCCCATACCCAGGTCGGAATTGGTCTCCCATAAAACAAAATTTTAATAAAAAGCTTTCATCTGCTAGAGTTCACATTGAAAACGCATTTGGTATCCTAGCAAACAGATGGAGAATACTTCACAATACTATTCACGCATCACCACAAATGTAGATAAAATTGTGCTAGCAACAGTAGTTTTGCATAATTTTTTAATGCTAGACAGAAACAGAGGTTATTTCAATGAGAATTTGGTCGATCACATTGAAGATGGTACTTTTACTCCAGGA